TTTTTTTGCAGCTCTCGTGTGATTGACCTCATTGTCCACATGGCTTCTGTTGCGTGATTTGACTGTGGTTTCGTATTTGCAAGAACTCAGTAATTTTAGGTTTGATGAAGCCTTTGTTCTGCTTCTTACTATCTGGGGTCTCTTCACTTCAGTTTGATCCCTGGAATAAGTAAAAATTTTCATTGTGTTTTGTCTCTTTTCAGAACATGGTTGTGGTTTGAGAATTTTCCCCTTGCGAATTGTGATCGTTTATAATCAGTGTTGAATCTTTTTGCTCTTTTTTCTTTGTTCCTGTGCGTTTTCTCCATCTATTATGGTTAAAAGCAATGTTTATCAATACTGGTGGTCTAGTTGGTACGCCTACTCTTTAAACTTAGGCCAAAATAATGGTTTGTATATGGTTACATATCGTTTTGGTATTTTACCGGTTTGTATCTGTTTGCATATAAAAAGATATCGGTTTTACCGGAATATATAGGCCATAATACCAGTTACAATATATGGTATACTGTATACAGTATATTGTATATTTTTTCCAAAAAAAAATAAAAATTAGTATATATTTATTATATTATTTTTATTAATTGAAAGTTCTATACTTAATTTTAATATATTTGTATTGTTATTAAATTTTAATTAATAATAGTATTTATTAAAATTAGATTTATACATTATATAACAATAAATTAATTTTATATTTATTGAAACTGGTAAAATACACAGTCGGTTGAACCATATATATCGGTGACTCGGAACGGTATTTAATATACTAGTTAAAAGTTGAGTTTTTAATAGTTGTTAGTATGATGATGTGTAGGGAATTAATCTTCGTGTATTTTCAGGAATTTCAATTGCGCTCATATTCATCATAGTAGGAATTGGATTCAAGCTTTCCCCGGCCCCTTCTCATCAATGGACTCCGTATTCGAAGGAGTGCGGTTTTATTATGTTCGGTTGTAAAAATGTTTTCTTCAACCAAAAGTAGCATATAGCATAATAAATTATGCATCATTGCATAATAAATTATACTCAAGAAACCTACACTAGTGGCCTTGATATAACATAACAAATTATGCATCATTACATAACAAATTATACAATATAAGAAATTCACACTAGTGACCTTGAAATTCGATGTATGTACTACATACAATGTAATGTATTGTTTGAAATTTTTGATTGATTGATTATTAGATTCTCAAGCCGATAAATTAACTTCCAAAACCCAGAAAACTGTTGTTTACATTTGATCGCCCCTATTTATTTGTTTTCATTTCCAATTACAAAATATATTCGTTGTTTGACAGCTTTCAACAGTAATAACAAGTTAACAACAAGCACATGACACTTTTTTCCCTTTTTTTTTTTCTTGAATTTTTGTGCGTGTCATAACTCATATGTTGCTATCCATTCATTTGTAATCTGTATTTTGGATTTTACGTAACATTACAGATATATAAATAACTTCAGTCATGGATTTTACGTAACATTACAAACATATGAATATATGATAAACTTCAATCATTGATTAAGAATGAAAAATCTTGTTTCCCTTTTCAAAATGATATTATATGAATTAGAAGATTAAATAGGGAGAATGACTTTTCTTTGTAGTAAGTATTACTAGTAGTACCCTTGCGATGGACGTAGACATTTATTACCTACTTACTTTTTAAAAGGTATTTTTGTATTTAAATTGTCTCATGACACTAAAAATATAATAAAATAAAATTTATATTTTATTTAACACTTTCTTATGTACAACATTTTTGGTTTGATTTTTTTGACACATAAAATACTACATGGTTGTTCGAATCTTATCATCTAAAATTCGAATTATTAGTTATTAGTTAAGAAATTACATTTTTTAAGAAAATTAAGAGATCTTATTTATTAGCCAAAATTCTAGTAGAGTACATTCTTGTATTATAGTACTAAAAATTAAGGGATCTTACTTATTAACCAAAATTCTAATAATGCACATTCTTGTATTATACTGGTGCTAATAAAATTATATGTCTAAATTTAAAATAAAAATAAAATACAATTTATTTTATAAGTTTTTAATAATTCTTGAAAAAAACATTATTATCTACATTTGAAAGGACACTCGACATTTGTATGACTTACAGTTTACTCTCCTAGTTATAGTACTTTCTCTAATTCATATTATATAATGGATTTGGTAGATAAATTTATTTAATGTAATTTTATTAATTTTTTAAATAATTTGATATATAATTTAACTTTTATAAAAGTAAATATATATTTATTTATATATGTAACATTAATGTCGAAAAGTGACTCATGCAATATTTAAGTTCCCCATTTTAATTTTTCGCAAATTTTGATCTGGATATCAGTGATTACAAATGATGTGTTGGGTAATTCG